AGATGTCATCACTCAGAATAACAAGCTGGGGAACTTTGGTATTGATCATGTTTTGAAGGATCACACAGAAAGGAAGTGATGCGTGAGGGCAGGTGGCAGATGTGCAGCATCTGCAGACCCTGAGCGACACCTGCAGCGAGCAGCCGTGAATGTTGTCGGTCTTTAACCCCAGCCCTGCTGAAAGCTCAGTGAGCAGTCAGTCACGTAATAACCACAGCCTCATCCAGGTCACAAACAGGACGTTGTTGACGGTCATGTGGCAGGAAGTTTTCGGCTCTTCCTGATGAAGACGGTGGACCTACAGAAACGGGTCAGGAGCACATCGCTGTGCTCACAGCATTCAAACTCAAACACTTCCACCCACGCCAAGCATTTTCTCCCCTCCTCAGAGCTGACCGTCCAAACAGAAACCAGCTCTGTCTCCATGAAAACACCCACAGCTTCCTCTGCTGCATCACCACAGGAGCACATGGATCCAGATCATGACGTCAGTCCACAGCCTTTACACTGTGAGTCTCTCTGCACTAATGGCTCCACCCACTCCAACCTTCTGACCCGGAGCTCCATGGTTAATTCAAAAACGACTCAAACAGGAAGAGGAAGCACTGTGTTTGTTTGTAACCTGTGGTTTACACATGTGCATTGAAGTCTGATTGGACACAATGCTCTTGTCTCTTAACCACAAACCACCAATCAAGCTCCTCCACCACCAGCCTAATTTCCCCATCTAAACATTGTCCGATATGTTTGGACGAGAATGAGGAGATGCAGCAACGCTGAGAAACGCCTCCTCCACCACCACCACCATCATCATCATCATATTCTGGCTCCAGCGGGCTCACACTGCTTTCTGAGGACCTCCTGTTTACAGGAACAGACCACAGACAGAAACCAGATCCTGAAACAGGCATCAACAGGACGCTGCTGGGTCGGGTCAGGAGACCTTTTTTAATATCTTAGATTATCTTGCTCAGCTTTAAGCAGTGACTTTTTCTACATTACTCACTAAAAGTGACATTCACTCAATGATCTTAAACATTTCCCCTGAGTTGAGTTTGTGAAGAAGTCTGAGATGAGAAGACGAGGTCTGACAGCAGTACAGGAGGCCATCCACACCCATTGTGAGCAACCGTCGCTGAGCAGAACTGGTGGCCTATGAAACCAGCCGTCAGCAGTCCTGAAACCCCATCCCATGCAGTTCAATCCTGACTTATGATCAGAGACCTGCGAATACAGACGAGTAACAACGACAGGTGAAACAAACAATCGTGGCACGAGCATCTACCAGCAGTGCTGAAGTCTACCGCTGACTGACAGGCGAGGTGGTGGTAGATCCATCTGAGGATTACCTACTTAAACCCGAGCCTGGAGTGGTGACCAGCCTTTAGCTTCAAAGTCCACAGTTTGAATGGACTGAGTGATTGACTCATCAGCTGTTTTAAAACAGATCACACCGAACTAAAAGGTGAAGAAAGCAATTGAAACAACTCAAATTCTCAAGTGAATAAACCTCATCCAAGGAGGTCATCAATCACGCCAACCCTGCGTCTCTGCCTGCAAGAAGAAAAATCCTTCCAGAATGGAAGAGTTAATAACACAGAACAATCCATTTATATCAATAATATCAGTGATGATAATGTAATTAGTACATTTTTATAAATCCAGTCAGTGATTAAAATATTCTCAGAAAGGAAAATTACTTGTGTCCAATTCAATCTCATGCAAAATGAAGATACTACAGTTACATCTAATGAGTTAATGAATAGAGACCATGGTTCGATAACAGAGGCAACAGAGCTCAATTAGGAGATTCAACCAATCATTAATGCTAAAGGATTGTTTATTTTGCTAATTAATAGGTATTATTTTCTCACCAATGGCTAGAGTGGTGAGTATGTGTTTAGCTTTTTTGGTTGGATGACTGAGGTTTTCTCAGTAAACACAAATGAGGAGATAATGGGACTCTGCAGCCAAACATGGAGGTATGTGTTTGAGTAATTTCACAACAAAAATGCCAAACAGGCGAGCAGATCCATAGTGCAAGAAATATGTGTCTGTGGTGTTTTGAGAACACTGAGTGCAAATATCAGAATCAGAGAAGCCCATTTTATTCACCCTGTGATGTGTGATATGAGTTCTGTGGAGGATTTGAACTGAAAGGGTTGTAAATTTGTTTTTTGTGATTACAATTGTATGTTTACAAATCTGTGTCCAAAAATCTGATTCTGAGGACTGCTGAGAGTATATTTGGAGATGGGTAAACTGATACAGTGAAATTAATCTATTCAGTTTGGAGAGTTTCTTGTTTTTTGGATGAATGACTTTCCAAAGAGCTGCAAAAAAAGGAAGGACCAGCTGACTTTGTCAAAGGCTTTTTCTACAATCACACTTGTGTGGGCTGGTGAGGCACAAGGGAAAGGTTCAGCAGGTGGAGACCACAGACTGCTGCTTTCTCCTGGCTCGTTCTTCTTTTAGCAGATACGATGATTTTCTAAGTTTGTGCTTGTTGAGTCTGTTAGGTATTTTAGTACCATGGTAGCATTTACTGGATATTGTTTTATAGTGACATTAT